CCCCGTCGCCGAACTTTTGCCTGCTGCTACTCCACTAGTTCGGTTTGCATATCCACTCTGGTAAAACCTGTGGACTCCCGTGAAGTCTGTGCAAGCTCGTTGAGCCAACCTGTCAACTCTTGTAAGCTCGTGAAATAGCTCTCTAGATGGCTCGACACGTCGATAGGATGTAGCAAAAGTGCAAAATGCCCCCCCCCCGCTCCCGTCGCCGAACCACGCCAAATTTTGAACGTAGGTTTGCGGTACTGCAATAAGCTGTGGGCTGAGCCCTTTCGACCTGATTTTCAGAAAATAGCCTTTGCTGTCACCTTAGCGTTTCCCTTCAGAGTAGGCCATACTTCATCGAGATCGAGATTCAACCTCTTCTTGACCTCATGATCTTGTTCGAGTTGCAGTTTTTTTCATTTAGAACAAATCTGATTCTCGTTTTTTCAAGACGCAGTTGATACCATAACAATTTAATAGCGATTTATTGTCACCTAACATATATAAAGCATAACAACATTTACTTACATAAATTCTTCGAAGGCATACTTCCTTTGATTACATTGTTAATGGGAAGAACAAAAATCAAGACATTCACGGGTAAGTGACGAGATATCACAGAACTGTGAAGAATGCACTAATGAGTGGCAGGTTCAGAGCAAAAACAATTGGAGGACGAAGGAATCCAAGGCATTCTCTATAAGCGACTTTATTCTTGACGGACATCTTAACCCGAAACCGCGACATAACTATGGCTGCAAACGCCGCAATCAGTGGGGGCACTGCGAGGAGGGATGGTATAGACCCGGACGCTCCCTGCTGCCTTTTATATACTCGAAATCCCTGAGATCGGTTAGGCGTGGCTCCGTTCTTCAACTGAACTTGGAGATGGCTGTGCTTCTGGTTCAAATGCCACGCCTACTCTGGCTCAGGGATAAGGGGTGTACCAATAGTGATCGTTTGGTCGCGGTCGCGGACGGGCTCATTCTACGCCTCCTAACATCGCCCCCCCCCTTGACTGCAACGATATTAAATGTGTATAGAGCAATCAACAAAAATCTTCGTTACAGGCCTGGAAATGTTGCGGACTCTTGGCGCTATGACTAGGCGGTACATTGACGGCAGAAAATCAGCTATTTTCTCAGCAAAAAAGACCCGCAACTAAGAAAATTGCTACAGAAGCGGACTATGGGAACTAGCTTATCTATAGAGATTGTCGTGAACTCCCTTAAAGAAATAGACAGTTCAAATAGTATACATAATGTCGATATCAAAACTCTGGATCTATTGTGGGAACCCAATTGAAAGTCCGCAGGAGCAATCCTGGCAAGCAATTTTTCACCTACGAATCGAAGAAATTTCAAACATTTGTGCAATTTTCAAAAGTAGGGTATTGTTAGCCCAGATTATTTAGGCCACGGAGTGATCTGGCACTCAATTCAAAACACCCTCAAACCTGGGCTAGTGAGTACAGAACGTTCCCTTCTAACCAGTACATTTGGACCTCTGCTTTGTAGAGCATCCATCGCTCGCTATGCCTTCAGAACGACAAAAGGAGTGCAGTAATAATGCTGGAAAAGCTAGCCTTAAAAGAACTTCAGAAAATGGAAGAAATCCTGTGAAGAGGGAGGGAAAAATTACGAGAAATCTATACCTAAAATTCGTAGTAACCCATGTTCACCTGGCTACAAACCAATTTCGCATCTGCAGGTAGGATTTTCTGTGCTTGTTGAACTCGGAGAAAACTCCTAGTACCATTAGTTTCCACCGTAGGGTAAAGGTGTACTGAAGTTCAGTTACTACTGAAGTTACGATTGGTGGGGTAGCAGACCTCCAACAGATGAACATCTAAACTACCTATTCACCTACTCAGGAGGGACACCCGAACAACAAGCACGAGGTTTAGCGCGATTTCGAGATCGACAGAAATCTTGTTGATTCGATAGCTCCAAAAAGCATCTCTCCAATGAAAACCTTCAGTGAGTTCCCACAATGGATGTCGCCTTGTATACACAACTTACCAGTACGAATCAATAACCTGAAGGTATTTGTTTGGTTTTACGTCGATAATCTCCGCACGCTCGAACTTCTTTTCCATTAGCCGTTATGCCCTGGACGATTCCCTCGAAACCAGTGGTATTACGGAACTTTTGACCAAACTTCCAGTCCAACACCGATTTCAGCTCCTGGAAAGCAGAATGAAGAGAAAAGAAGGAAATGGGAAGGTTTCGAAAGCACGTGTGGGCCGCGACAAGAATAAGGAAAAAGAACCCTTCAACCCATTGCGGGCCGCCATTAAACCGTCTTGTTCGCTCCGGGTCTCGGGGCCTGTCAGGTGCCTGTGTTTGGCGGGGCGTCAGCAATCCCCCCCCCATTGATCGTTGATATGCGACACATTGATATTGGTGGGAAATGGACCAACGCCACGTCGAATCCCTCCTCCCCCCCCCTCCCTTACACGCCCAGCATCCGCACCGAATAAGGCTGTATTTACATACGTGTCCCATAGAAATGTGGCCCCTTAATAATATCGAATTCAACTGAGATGAGTAGTTTCCTTTTTTTCCTCATTCTTTTATCACCGAACTCGCAACATTCGCGAGCCCTACAACAATTCGAAAGAGCTGTGCCTAATCATCACTTTTATGCCTCCTAAGCCATCATAATAATGCTAGCGCGAATTTTCGTGCGATAAAATAATGATTATAGCATTAACAAAAGTGTAGCGTTACCATTAACTGAGAAACGGTAACATATCTAATAATGTCAATAATAAAAAGGTCCACCTTAGGAAAGAGGTCATCAATCTGAGTTATATCGGGCGTGAACTGATTATGAATCATAGGAGAGTCGATCGCCTTGCTTTATAGTCTCGCCAAAGACTACTGGACGAACGATTGCCTGTAATTGTCTTTATTCACATGAAAAATCGCCCACAATCTCTAAATCGCACTGCCCACCTTTGCTACAGCTGATATGATTTTAGAGCCGCCAGATCCGCCGATAACCATCGTTGGCTGAAAAGTGTGAATGAGAAAGAAGGTTCAACAGGATAGAAAAATCGAGAAAATTTCTAACGCATTTTCAGCACGAAAAAATATGTCTAACCTACCCTAGCCACCCTTAACTCCTCTTAGCGAATTATAATTGTCCTGAATGCAGAAAATTACGTACCTCTTTTGTCTTCGCGTCAAAAATCACCACTGGACTCATACTGCTCATTGGCCGCTTACCAGGTACAATAAAATTCGTTTCCGATGGAGCAAAGCCAAACCTTCAAAAAGAATTCAGAATTATAGCAAGTAAGAAAGAAAGAAAAATGAATTAGGGTGCCATTCAGGTAATGAGGTGCATTTTGGCGAAGGGCAATCAAGGCCTTTGAGAGAGGATATCGCAAACTTTTTTGTAGAAGTGAACCAAGAAGCTTCTTTCTTCTGTTTCCATGGGACAAGGCAAAAAATACCCTTGACTCAACTGGCTAGGACTACTGTAATAGGGCGACTCAAAAATGGAAGCGAACAGATGTTAAGCCATCGACTACTGGAGGAACAGGGGAGCGAAATCGAAAGTGTTGGATATCGAGGTTTGCCCAAGACACTTCCAACCCCCCCCCCTTCTTTTGGCCTCCCAGTAGGGTCAATAGACCTCTAGTTCAACTTGAACTGACTGGTCTCAAAAGTAAAACGTTACTATACAGGGGGGCCAAAAAAAGTCATTTTGCCTCCATGACTTTCAAGGCGCTATAAGTTACACTTTATTAAATTTTTATCGGACATTTTTACTACCATAGAGCACATTACTATAATGATACTCCGCCACAGCCTTCTGGAGGAGCGCCATCGAGAGATTCGGCCGCGCGAAAGTGAGTGGGTACCGGAGTTGAGCGAGATCGTTGATTTCTCCGCCACTGTAGACCACCCTGTTGAGCTCCGCCCGAACCGAGTAATTGAGGGGTTTAGTTCAGGACCCCCGCTTAAATACTCCATCTTTTCCAGGTACTCAACGTTCTTCCATTCCAAGTAGGCGAAAGTTTTTCCAACGCCCTTCGATTAAATGTGTTGTCACCCAATCCTGTAGCAGTACAAAGTTTCCAAGAAGGTACGGGCGACGACATGAAGATGGGATATTCTCCTCGAGTTGCTCGATGTAGCCACCAGCGCACACCCTCAGTCTGGGGCCCACGAAGAAAATATCGGTTCATCCATTCCAGGTACGGCCGGTCCACACCATCAACCCGCGCCTTGGTGAATGGGGTGAAGATGATGTCCTGGACCGTAGCGACGTTGCCGGAGCTGCTCGATGTTTGAGGTCTTGCAGATCAAGAGTACTGGTCTCCAGGTAGCTATCCATGGGTGATTCCATTCAAGAAGTTCCGCAGCTGTTTGGAGGCCACGTGAATTCCAAAGGCGTTCTCCACTCAGGCCGCGACTGGAGATGACTTCATATTTTGGTGTACATGAAGGTGAATGGCGGCAGCCGGCTCCTGCTTATAGAGGAAGATCTTGGGTATCTTCCGCCCTGGTACTCATATCCACTTCCTCTGTCTGGGCTGCGAAAACTTCGCTCATATGTGACTCGGCCGGAATGACTTTTTTGCCCCCCCCCCTGTATATCGGAATACAGCATTTGGACACTGACATCTACACCCCTCCCCGGACCACACACCGTCTTTTTCTTCTCTAGTGATTGCGATTCGTAAATGAAGGACGCGATGAAGCGTTACCATATATTAGGTTGAGTCGATATGATTCGGACAAATTGACAAATTTTTTCTTTATCGTACAACTTTTTAACGACAACTGGGGTTCACTTGAAATATGCTCCATCTTCATCGATGACCTTCTGCCACCGGATAGGCAGATCGTGGATGCCCTTGCTCCAGAAGGCCGGGGGCTGGGCCTCGAAGAAGTTCTCGAGTGCCTTCTTGACGTCGTCGCGAGTTTTGAAGTCTTGGCCGTCCAGGTGGCGTTGGAGGTGGGAGAAAAGGTGGAAATCCGAAGGGGCCAGGTCTGGAGAGTACGGTGGGTGTGGAAGCACGGTCCAACTGTACGACAGCAGCTCGGCCTTGGTCGATCTTGCAATGTGCGGTCTCGCGTTGTCGTGCTGGAAGTAGACATGGGACCGCCGCCGTTGCGAATTTTGGACATTTGCCTTCAATTCTCGTAATTGACGAATGTAGACGTCGGCGGTTACTGTTGCACCTTCATCGAGCAGTTCCCAGTACTCTACGCCGTGTACGCTCCACCAAATACAGAGCATCACCTTTTTCGGGTGTGGACTGGGTTTGGGGACGTCGTTTGCGTCGGCATCTTTGTCGACCCATTGTGCACGGCGGTGAGAGTTAGAGTAGAGGACCCACTTCTCATCGCCAGTGATTATTTCGTCGAGCCAATGGTGGTGGCGCTTGAAGGTGAGCAACGAAAGTGCGACCTCGCACCGCCGATCCATGTCCCGCTGCGTCAGAGCATGGGGTACCCATCGACCGAGTTTCAGCACCTTGCCGATTGACTTCAAGCCGCGAACGACAGTAGTCTGACTCACCCCAAGAGCGGTCGCCATATCTCGAGTGGTTTGATACGGATCGGCTTCCACCTGTTTCCGCAGCGAGTCCAAATCCAGCTCCCTCGGGCGTCTCGCATGGTCTTCGTCTTCGATGGAATAGTTGCCCGACGCAAACTTCGAATGCCACAAGTAGACTGTACTTCTAGCGGGGGCATGCTCCTTGTAGACTTCCTTTAGGCGTCTGTCGATATCCGCGGGTTCTTGGCCAGATAGCGTTAGAAAGAGTATGACGTTGCATCTGGACGGCTTGAAATCGTGTGCGGCATGGTGGCGGAAATGAAACTAGTTTGGAGTGTTTGTTTAATTGCATTTTGAAGAGCTTTTTATATTCTTTCCAACGGTACCTCGCGCGTCCATTTTCGTTCACTCGTTGCTGAGTTATGATCTCTAGAAATCATCACTACCATTTGTCCGAGCCATATCGACTCAACCTAATACAACTAATAAACTACGAACTGAGCTTAGGTGGATGGGTTTTCCACAGATAATAGAAGTTCTTCAACTTTCAGAAAGAGAACTTGCTGTGACGTATAAGGGAAACAGTCAGGTGTTCTCTGTTGGAGGTACGCTTTTGAAGATTACCCGTTTGCCATTCCAGGTGTAGAAAAATCATCCATCTCGTCGTTCCACACAATACCGTAAGCCTCAGATTCGACCGATGCTCCGAACCTACAATGATCAAGATTAGTTGAAGCTTCGCCAGGCACAGCCCCGTCCTTACCATCGATTAATGGTGGTCGTCGAAGAGACACCGTTACCGTGTTCATCCAGAACCGAAACCTGCGATGTTCCATGATCCGGCACCTGCAAATCACGTCATTATTCTTAGCGCCGCTAGTTCTTCTAGTAGTTCATGAATCGGCATCATAGAGCCGATTACCCTACGAGACGGCAGATCCTGCATACAGATGCTTTCTGCTTGGATTTTCAAAACATGCTAGCATCTTATGCGTAGCTTTTCCTATGTTTTTGGCACTGCGTGCTGTCTCTATAGTTGATGTACAGGAGGCCAATAAAAAAGATACTTTTCTTTCTCGACATTCCAGGCGCTATAAGTAAACCTTTATTAAATTCTGATTGGACACTTCCACCATTATATTCAACAACACATTGCACACTAACGAAACTCCGCCAAAGCCTTTGGACGAGCGCCATCGAGAGATTCTGCCACGCGACCGTGATTCGGTGCCTGAGTTCAGCGAGATCGTTGATTTCTCCGACTGTAGACCACCCTGTTGAGCTCCGCCGAACCGGTAATTGAGGGGTTTAGGTCAGGTGACACACTTGGATATTCCGTCTTCTTCAGGTTCTCAACGCCCTTCGATTCCAAGTAGGCGAGAGTTTTTCCAACGCCCTTCGATTCCATGTGCTGGCACCCAATCCTGTAGCAGTACGAAGTTTCCAAGATGGTACAGGCGACGACATGAAGGCAGGATATTCTCCTCGAGTTGGTCGATGTAACCGCCAGCGCTCACTTCCAGTCCGGGGCCCACGAAGAAAATATCGGTCTTCTCCATTCCAGGAACTTCCGGTCCATACCATCAACCCGCGCCTTGGGCAGCTGCGGTGAAGATGATATCCTGGACCATAGCGACGTTGCAGAGCTGCCTGATGTCGGAAGTCTTCCACATCAAGAGTGTTTGATCCATAGGTGACTCCATACAAGAAGTTTCGCAGCTCTTGGAGGTGACGTGAATTCAAAGGTCTTCTCCAGTCAGGCTGCGACTGGAGATGACTTCATATTTTGGTGTACATGAAGTGATGGGCGAGAGCCAGCTCCTGCTTATAGGAGACATCTTGGGTATCTTCCGCCCTGTTACTCGTATCCACGTCTCCTATCTGGGCTGGCATAAACTCTACTGATATATAACTCGGCCAAAGTGTCTTTTTTTTATTGCCCCACCCCCAATCAGTCTGTGCGGGGTTAGAAGGGAGGACTGAGCCCAGTAGTGGTCGATTCAAAACAATCAACCAATAGTCTGAACGTCGCGGGTGGGTCCACGCCTCCTGACATCGCCCCGACTGGTTTACCACATGGTTTGCTGCCCTACATTTGCTGGAATTATGCATAAGATTGCTACTTCTTTACAACTTTAGTGTAAGTTCACTCGTGAGTGGCATAAGACAAACAAATATTAAATGAACTACTTAATTTGGAATTTGTTTCTCTTACCTGCGATTGAGCTATTCCGCCATAGTACGCAGATGGTTGAGCACTATCTCTCATTCGTTCAACGACCCATTTAGTATATCCCTCCGTTGTGAGATTCTTTGCCAGCGTCTCCGCGGACTTTACGAAGGCAACGTCTCCAAGCAGCGTCCTGATGGCTATGACATTAGATAAAAGTAAGCATAAAGGAAGCACATTCGTACTCCTAGGGAATGGCGGCCAGGGACGTAATATATCGTTCGTTAGAACCACAAATTTTATCCCTCTTTTCACTTAGGACGCATTAACAACTCACGAGTAGAGCCATTCGGTCGCGCGATTCAGGAACAGGGTACAGCACCGTTGTGTGAAAACATAAGTGGGAGGGGGATCGTACCTTTCCGCTGGGGAAGGAGGGGTCGTATTTGGGCGTTGGGAGAGAGGGGGAGGGGTCGTATGTGCGCTTGAGAGAAATTTGTTGCGTCGCGTTGGCACAAAATTTTCCCGGAGTTGCGGATAAGTTGCGGATAATTTAAGAAATTTGCTCGTTTCACATTGGCTATGTACCCACCCACTCCCACCTCCTCTCGATGGAAAATTTCTGGTGAAAACTGGACTAGAAAATGTGGGAAATTGGGAGGTCGGTGTTGGAGAAGGGGGGGGGAAGTCGTCCGAGACCCTCATTTAGGTGGGGGAAGGGTCGTAGTGACACCCGCTCTCGGAGGTGGGGGGGCGTCGTACCTTACTGCCATTTCACAGATCACGATGCTGTATCCTCTTTAGGAACCAATGGTAAGCAGTTTGCGTGGCCTAACGCAGTCCTGCGACTGAATCCGTCGAGAACAGAACTGTGAAGATGGGGTTCTGTTACGTTATGTTCCACCTATCAGAGCATGGAGGAGATATTTACGAGCTACAGGCATTTTTAATAGGGCGGAAACTACGTAAGGAATACTTCTGTCATGTGTCGCCCATCATAATGATTTTCCAAAAAAATGTCGTGAAGAAACACCTGTGGTTTCTGCCAGTAGTTACTAATTTCTGTAGCGTCGAGTAAGAGCCAAGCACGTTTTCCACCTCCGATTCCAGCCGCCCCTTATTACGTGAACATCCAACTAGTCTCACCTTTGCGCATAGGCGAACTTCATTGCCTCAATGAAATGATGTGTGGCTTTTGGGTCACTGAGGATGTCGGTTTTGTGGTTCTCCGGATAAAGCGCTGAAATTGCAGCATTATGCCAAAACTACTACTTCAAGCATTTAAGACTTCAATAGTCACAGTTGACGTACCACTCATTACTGAAACAATCAGCTGCGTTACCACGAACGACGACGGTGGTGGTCCGCCGCACATGACAAGATTTCCTCGGAAGTGTGCATTTGCAAGCTGCTTGTAAACCCGTGGTTTGTAGGACGCAAGATCTGCTTTGGTGATGATACCTCCTAAAATTTATTATTTCTGCATGAACTTAATGACGTATGAGTATGCAAAAAGATAATGATAGGCGTATCGTCCTCTGTGGCACAGACTAATAGCAATGAATCCAAATTTTTGAATCTCCATTAGGTACTACACTCAAAACAGAGGGCAATCACTCTTCTCCATGAGTAATGGCTTTTTCTTTACATTTCTAGCAATTCATTTTGTTATGAGCGAGGCAATATCCCACAGAAAACCCGCTCACCAACTTGGTTTATTTCGAAGTCGTCGAATGGCCTTGCTGACTTTCAACTTCATTGAATATTAAGGGAAAACACTATTCAAGGAATTTCTTCCAAGAAGGAAAGTTGAAAAAATTTAGTTTCTGTCTACACGCGCTCTTGTCATAGAAAGGACCATAACAAGTCGGCGTCCTACTTCTGTACTTATAAGTCCGGATCCGACTGGGCAGCTGCTCACGTATCGGTGGTTTGAAAAATCAGTAGTAAAAACTTCTAGAGTCAAGCTACAAAGTGTAAGAATTTTGATCCTCATTCTAATTCAGAAATGTATGGAATTTTAAAAAAGCAAAATACATAAATGTAAAGCAGAGGGTTCCGAACATTCGCTCACCTCCCTCGGCCATCTCTCTCGCGATGGTTTCAGCCATTTCACCTCGATAGAACAGCTTGACAGGGTCCTTTGAATTGGCGAGTTTCTCCAACGTGTTAGCAAGTTTTAGTCGAGGAAGGAGATCGCCCATCTTATAGGTGGAGTTAGTAACAGGGTTGATCCATGCCCTGAAGTTTCCAAGGTAATCGGTAAATCGTTAAACTAAAATGCTTTTATGAGATTTATGACTGCATCTTTGAAGACAAAAATGATTACCTACTAGCTGAATGCTCACCATACGAAAAGCTAAGTGAATGGGTCCTCAGCCGCAGTAACATTCCATTTTTTCCGCTCGAAAAGTATGGGAACGCCGCCTGAGGATAATAATACCCCAGTGCTTTTCTGGACTCCACGAGCTAGCTACTGTACGGCGTCCGGCATGTATGTCGATGCCGAGGTCCTACAGCGAGCAATACGAGTGGCAACATGCATAGCGTGGCCAAATGTAGGTAACAACGAAACGTAAGAGGCCGCACGACAAATAATACGCCTTGGCTGGCGTTTATACCGAGGCCTCGCGAGTGCGCGTGTTGCGTCCGCTGGTTTGCAGCAGGTGGCTGGAGTCCAGAATCTAACATGGCTATCACCTCCCTCCAGCCCCACTGCCAACCGCTTTTCAGCGGAACTCAAGAAATAAACAATTGAGAATTAACACTCAAGCTGATTCCCAGAAGAACGAAGACGAGTCGGAAACCTCCTCATAAAAGATACTGTAATGCGTGGAATAAGTATGATAGTTGACAGAAACGGTAATCGAAAGTCTCTGATCTCTTCGAGAGGCAACAACTAGAAGTGAGCGCTTTTACTAAAGGATTCAGCAATTTCTTCCGACGACTACAACTCGTCAGTTGGATGAATATTTCTGGTCAAAGTAGTGAGACAGAAACTAGAACTGTTGACTAACTTCATACTAGGAAACAGTCGGAAATGCCGTTCTTTGACTCTCATGACATTGTCCAAGTACTCCGACACAGGAACGCCATTGCGACAAAGTTTTATCGATGGCTCGATGAGGTCCTTCCAAGCAACACGACCTTAAGATCCTCAATTATTATTATTATTTTAGTTTATTTGATTTCATTGGTTTACACGTCAAAAATAATTTTCCTTCGATAGATTTCCATCCTTTCCCTCTTTAGAAACGTCCGACAAATGTAACTTCTGAAACCCCCTGGAAAACTAGAAAAACCCCTTAAATTTGACAAAATGCTAGTATGCCGCGGCCGCAAGCAACTGCACTCATGTCCGGGAGATGGGGAGGCGTGGAACTTCGTTTGAACGTGGCAACTGTTCGCTTTTGATGGGGTATATCCATTTGAGACAATTGTGATCAAGTCCAGCACGTTACAGTATGACTTGTCCCAGATGTTAGTGCCCCAAGTGTTAGTGGAAGACGTATTTCACGCAATGCGCAAATTGAATACGCAGCTACGCTCTCCCCGACTCCGGTATATTTTACGCATTTTTGCGCGTGAGGACAGGTCATCACATTTCCTCTGCATGTGCTGTTCCTAAATTGGACGTGACGGTTCTCAATTCTGCTTACTACCTATTACATCCAATCACCACTAAGTTTTGACAAGGCTCTGCCAGAATCGCTTGCCGTTGCCCATGAATAGAAAGCCTGCCTTCTTGAAACTAGAAGTATGTATAGGTGGGGATATTCTCTCGATATGGAACCAGAGCAGATGACAGACGAAAGCGGTCATAGCTCTATAGAAATAGCAAAAAATCTAAAAATCACTCACCCGAACCGTGATGCATGAATGCGTACCAGTATCCGGCTAGCTCTCCTGGCGTACCGGCCGACTTAAACCCTGAAATAACTGCCAGAACTTGTTATCTAAATGCCCACAAAACCTGTATGCCAATCCCCTGTCCGGAAGAACTGCCATAAGTATCAGCCAACAGAACTACTCTACCGTATTTCGATCCGTCACTGTCATCCCTGAACATGTCACGATGTGCTGCTGCTGGAGCCGTTTCTCTCGCGTCAATCGCTAAGCACTTCCCTTCGGTCCTGAATGGGAATATCACCGTGAGATCTCCGCAATAATGCAGCGTGAAGCTGTGCGCAGAAATGTAAGACTTATCGATTCCACTTGGAAGATTGGGTACTATTTACTCTTTATTGTCAATTTTTCAAGAGTAGATTAGATTCTTCTTTAGAATTCAGATTCTTGCTAAGCTACTTTCTCCGAGGGTGGAAGTGGCTGGAAAAAGGAGTGCTGCCCAGGTCCCCCCAAAAGTGCTTTGGACATACCTTCAGCCGATTCACTCACTCTCACTCTCTCTCTCTCCCTTTGGTTTTTTATACACTGGAGACTACTGTCACAGCCGAGGAAACTGGCAGCACCTGCACTGGCTGCTCAAAAACACCTCAGTCAGCCAGGTTTCCTGAGAACGTGTCTCTACGTTTAGTTTGGGCCCACCTGAACATCCACGTTGGTTCTAATATTGAAGAATATGGAAAGTATCAGGAGGAAGTCCTGCGGCGTCTTTTGTGCCCTTAGCCCTACTCCATGAGAGGGCTCCCTTCTCTACTGAAGATGAAAATCAAAGGGGGATCCACAGAGGCAACAAAAAAGAACGCGGTCCGTGTGACGACGACGGCTTTAGCTCTTCGCTCTGCACGAAATGACCTGGGATGCGTGCAGGCGCCCCGTCAAAACAGTTTCGTGGAGTCGGCGTCCGTGGCGCAAGTGGCACAATTTTGTACCAAGATTATGTGGTATTCGTGTTCAGATAGACAATTACCCCTCGTGGCGACTTTCCAGACCAGTCGAATTCCTTACAATAACCCTGACAACTAGGGGAGTAAAAGGTAAATTTGTAGTTTAAAAACAAGTAATTCTTCTCAGGCTCTGAGTAAAATGCTTACTTACATTATTTCGGTCATACTTTTCTAAGCTC